CCGGATTTGAGTGGCGGTCTTGTTGATGGAATCAACATTATTGAACTGAAATATGAGGTATTGTTAAATTTGTTATTATCTCTCAACATTAAAAAGGGACCGGGCCCTGATAAGTTGCCAAATTTGATGCTTAGAGAGTGTGCTGTGTCCCTCTGTGACCCTTTATTGTTTATTTTTAATAGATCAATTAAGCAAGGCTTTTTTCCTACTAGGTGGAAACACTCATTTGTTACTCCCATTTTTAAAAGCGGGGATAGGTGTAATATAGTAAATTACAGGCCTGTGTGCATTCAATCTTCTGTATCCAAGGTGCTCGAGAGGATGGTGATGCCTGTTCTTGAGAATAGCTTTAAGAATATTATAATTGAACATCAGAATGGCTTCGTGAGTGGGAGGTCAACTGTGATAAATCTATTTGCATATACTGATTTTATTAGCAACGCTTTGGATTAAGGCTGTGAGGTGCATTCCATATATACCGATTTTAGCAAGGCGTTTGATCTTTTGGATCAAAACATTTTATTGAATAAACTACAGAATTATGTATAGAACTATGTATTAGTGGCATTTTTGTCATGGTTGGCGTCCTACTTGCGAGGACGTTCTCTTCAAGTGAAGGTTGATGGATACCTCTCGTCAACTTTTAACGTTAAATCAAGCATACCACAGGGATCTCATCTTGGCCCTAGACTGTTTCTGGTTTTAATAAATAATATTGGTCACTTTTTTAATTCGAATTATTTGCTTTTTGCTGATGATCTAAAACTCTTTAGATGTGTAAGATCAAGTCAGGATTGTGAACTACTCCAGAAAGATATAAATGGGTTGATGGAATGGTGCGACTTGAATAATTTAAAGCTGAATAGAGACAAGTGCTCATATATTGTATTCACTCGCCATAGAAACTACACTGAGTACAAATATAGAATGGGTGACTTTGCGCTACCCAGAGTAAATCTTATTAAGGATCTGGGCATTTTCTTAGACAGTAAGCTTAAGTTTTCGGACCACTACCAGCATATTATTGCCAAGGCATGTAGAATGATGGGATTAATTATTAGAACATCTAGGGATTTTAGGGATTTGCGCTCTTTGGTTGTGCTTTTCACTTGCCTGGTGCGCTCAGTGTTGGAGTATGGTTCAACCATTTGGTGCCCCTATTATTTTACACATAAAAGCCGCATTGAGGCCGTGCAGAACAGATTTCTGAGACATCTTCGATATAGATGTGGGCCAGGACATTCAGACATGGGGGTGGGTGCATTGAGAGAGCACTTTGGGTTGAGTTTGTTGGAGGACAGGAGAGTGTTTTTAGATATGTGTTTTATGTTCAAATTGTAAAATAATATTATAATTTCTCCTCACTTACTACAGCGAATAAACTTTGCAGCTAACCCAAGAAATTTTAGGCATAATGATGTGTTGGCTAGTGGTAGATTTAACACTAGGCATTCCCGGAATATGCCTCTTAATCGGCTTGTTTCATATGTCAATGCCAATGAAAACCTTGACTTTTGGGGGGTGTCCTTAAATACATTTAGAACCAGATTGGGAAGAAGTATCCTCTGAGTGCAATGTGTAAAAGTATATTTTTCTTGTCTTAATAGTATATGTATTATATCTTGTTGGTACATTTTTGAATGTTTTTTAAGAGTGTTGAAGTGTCTATATTATTTTATTTTTTTTACTTTTTGGATTTATGAATGTAAAATGGTTTACCGTTGAAATAATAATAAATAAATAAAAGTAAAAACGTGTTTCCGGAACTGTCTCATATGTCCATTGTCCATGTTTCAACCCTGAAATACAATTTTCCTCTTATTCACAGAATCGGACTTTTAAGCACAAACAGTTTTTTTAAGAACTAAATTTTCGAGTTTTTGTATTGCATTTCTTAACATTGTGTGTAGAAAATAGGCCGACGCTTTTAAATAGTCGAAGCAAACAGCTTGTAGCTTCCCTGATAAACTATTTTGAACGAGAACATAACAATAAAGGTCCTTTATTACACTATAACCGTTGATTGAAAGAATTGGGAAGATACGCAACCTACTGGGCCAATTCGCGACAATGCTGATTTGCTTTCCCCTTACGTCTCAAGTGCTGTACGGTGGAGACACCAATCCTTCTGCGGCCAACGCATAAAACACTCTTGTTTTCTCTAAGTCGGCTAGCGAAGCCATATCGAAGACGGTGTGGAACTGAAAGCGACAGTTTTGCCATATTAAAATGTGTAATATCTGTAATACGTTTGACGAAAAGATCTTGGGATGAAAAAGACTTATTTATGTATTGAAAATCGTGTTAAACATAGAATAAACAAAAATAAAAATTCTTTTATAGATTCTGAATATATCGTATGATCGAAAAAAGTCGTTTAGTTGGCTTGGAAATGACGATTATTGACATTTACCGTAATATTTTACATATATGAGATAACAGCGATCTTCATTTCCAAGCCAACTCGGACGCCGTTCTTTGTTTAGTCATATAATATTGTTGCGGACCCGTGTGGACTCGGCCTAACCCGTTCTAATATGTCTCGTCTCCATATGACCTTAATATCGCATTAAAAAATAGACACCGTAATGAGTCATCGAACGTTCGAGAACAATCATGTTCCACTGGAATGGAGGCGTACATACGAGAACGTTCTAAATCTTCTCTATACACCTAATGATCTAATGTACTAGCCGAGAACTGTTAGCTGTGGGTATAATATAACTCGAGGCCTGTGCAAAGGAGAGACAGAAACAGATCGGTTGACGTGTACAGTGGCCGCGCTAAATTCAAAATAAATTCCTTTTATATTAGATAATAGATAAATAAGTTGTAAATAGTTCTTTAAGTAGTTTTATCGTTATTCTTTTGTTACTTAGTGTAAAATAAATTGTGTTTAAATAAATTAGACTTTCTATCTACACGAAACCGACGAAAAACGTAACAATATTATATTAAATTGTTTAACGATTTATTAGTAGTTCTGGCAAAACTGTCTCCAGTAACCACTCACTCTGTGGACTAAAAGCAGAACTACGATACAGTATTCTTTATTCGCTGCACTTAAACGACTATTAGCACGCAGCGCAGAGCTAAACTAAATCTCGGGCAGGCTGACGGTAACGCTATCTACATCTCGGACAGGTCTTGTGCCACGAAATCGCCCAAAAAATCTTCTTATTTCTTCAATTAACGCTATAGCGTTAATATTGATTATATATACAGGGTGTCCCAGGCTGAGCGTGAAATAGAAGTTTCTAGAGAACCACGGTATCTAGGTCGGAGATTTTTTGCATATCATTGTTTTACAACGAGAACTATCGATTATAAATAATTTCAATATGGCGGCACTTCCGGAAATACCGGAAGTTGGCAGTAACTTTCTTATTTTAAATGGGTGCCCCCACTTTTATTATATACTTAAATTATCTGTAAAATTCTATGAATATTGATGTTAAACACTCTATACCTAACATTAACCGAATTGAGAAACCGTTTTTGAGACCGTTTAATCGTTTTTGAGAAAAAGAAATATTTAAAATTTTTGGACGAAAAAAACTACCTGTCAAAAAAATTGTATAGCCTAAAAGTCAAATTTAGTGATTACCACAGCCACTGTGACATAAAGAGAAGACATGTGGCTATATATTTCAAAAATTAAATTGTTCAAATGTCGTATAATAATGGCGGTAGCTGTCATGGAACTGAGCGATTAAAAAATTATCATAAATCATTTTTTTCAAATGGAAACTCACTTTTTTATTTCACTAATGAAAAGGTTTTTCAATTCGTTACTTTTTAGTTGTACATGTTCCTATAGCTAAAATAAATCGTTTTTAAGTTATTTAAGATTTAATTTGAAAACGTATATTTTTCTTGATTCTATCTAGCTTCCTTTGACATTAAGTGTCAAACGGTCAGACAATTTATTTCCATCTGTCAGAAACCGAATTATTCGAATTTTCTATATTATAAATACTGCCTACCCTTAAGAGTTTAAAAAGTGTATTTATAAAAATATATCTCGTATTTTCGCTCTTTAGTGATATCTAAAGTTGATATTATTCCGTATGATCGAAAAAAAAACAGCGCAAAGTTGACTAGGAAATCATGCTGCTTTTTGAACAAAGCGTCACAATATGACATGGCCAGATTTATTGTTTTGCATCACTTGACGTTTAAAGTCATAGGCTACTGGTTAAAATGAAGAAAAATAGAGGCTTTAAAACTAAATCTTAAATAACTTAAAAACGATTAATTTTTTATATAGGAACATGTATAATCAAAAAGTAACGAAATGAAAACCCTTTTCACTAGTGAAATAAAAAAGTGGGTTTCCATTTGAAAAAAATGATTTATGATAATTTTTTAATCGCTCAATTCTATGACAGCTGCGGCCATTATTATATGACATTCGAACAATTTAATTTTTGAAATAGATAGCCACATGTTTTTTCTTTATTGCACAGTGGCTGTGGTAATCACTTAATTTGACGTTTAGGGTATACACATATTTTTGACAGGCAGTTTTTTTCGTTCAAAAATTTTCAATATTTTTTTTTCTCAAAAACGGTCAATGTTAGATATAGAGTGTTTAATATCAAAATTCATAAAAAAATTACAGAGAATTTAAGTATGTAATAAAAAATGGGGGCACCCATTTAAAATAAGAAAGTTACTGTCACCTTCCGGTATTTCCGGAAGTGCCGCCATATTGAAAATATTTTTAACCGATAGATCTCGTTGTGAAACTATGATGTGCAAAAAATCTCCGAGCTAGATGTTGTAGTTCTCTAGAAGCTTCTAATGCACTCTCAGCTTGGGACACCCTGTATATTGATTATAATCGAGACTATAACTTAAGTAAATTTACTGTCCTTCGAGATGAGGGAGATCATTACCCAAAAGATTTCTTTCTTCTTGTCGTATGTTGTTGTTTGTTTCATGTAAAATTTTATTATTGCTATAGATTATTAATTGACATTTGTTTCTTGTTTCAGATAATCTCAATGGTCCAAATATGTCCACTTCCCCATATCAACCACCTAGTTGGCACGACGGCAACGGCTATTCTTATGTTTCACAAAATTTATATGAAACGCACGACTTGCCATTAGGTAATACACAATATAGTGAGTATTTGTAATATGTTAAGTGCTCCAAGCCAACTGGACGCCGTTTTTATCGATCATACGTTATAATATATGCATATTCTAAAGGGTTGTTAAAAATAAGTATGTTATAAAATTATATAAGAGTTTCTTGCCTTGAACTGCTAATATAGAAATTAATTCCACGCTGTGTTCGACATAATGTGGATCAACCTGCTCTCACTACCGGTTTCGGGGCCCGAAACATTTTTGACATATGATGATTTTTTAAATGCCATCATGCATTTAAAAAATCATCATATGTCAAAAATGACAGGCTTTAGAAAAAAAACGTAGGAGACAATCTCATTAAGGATATAAGGATATGATTATCTACAACTTTTATCTGAAGACTTTTTGTCTAAAATAGATTATAATGGAATTAGGGATAATTCTTAAAATAGCCGAAATTTGTTTTTTTCGAAATATCTAGTAAGTCATGAACTTTTTCAAAAATCTGAAAGGCGCATATTTATGACCCCACAAAACTGCAATTCTTTTCCTATTTAACCAACTTTCTATCTCCAGTACATTCCATAGAGGACATCGTAGAAAACTCACCCTGTATATACAAGAATTTGAAAACTTAAATTAAAGAAAACTAAACATAGGTTCTTTGAGATCTTTTTCAAAGTTTGAGGCTATAGTTTTTTGAAACTTCACTGTTAAAAGATCTAATTATTTTTCATTCTGAATAATGTTTTTCTGCATAAAATATTTATAATACTTTTTTTTATTTTAGTTATACCAGACCAATCCAACGAGTTTTTGAGCTCCTCTTTCGCTAGAACCTCACCTCCGTCGTCTTACCCCAAGTCTGACCCACTGGACACGTCATATCCTAGTCGAGGTTACCACCAGGACACTTCGTATATACCGAACAACTGCAGTCTTCAAGACAATACTTACAACTACAATTATTACAACTCCTACATTCATCCGCCGTACTTCGGGCCACCCGCAATGCCCCCACAAGCAATCATTTCCACGTACCAACAAAATCAAGTTCATATTCATATTAACCAATCCCCTTGTAGAAGCGATTATTTGGCATCTGAGAGTGCTCTGCCGGTTGAGGATACCAGGCAACATTCTGTTCCAGTACATAATAGTGACCTAATAAATAGTGTGGTAGCTGAACCGATACAAGAACCTTCTAGAGTTGAGAATTCCGGACAGGAACCTAAAATTGTTTGGCGACCACCTTGCTTCTAGTAAAGCTTGCTAGGTATATAGAGGGTGACAATTTGGAAGTAGCAATCGGGAATATACTTAATGTAGTCACGCACATACCTACAGTTTTTCCTGAAAGTAAATCTGCAAAGTGTAGGATTGGATGTTTCATTTTAAATGCGGATGACCCAGATACGGGCTAAGAATATTTTGTACATACATCTGTTCGTAACTAGCATATACAGAGTGTTTCATAAAACATGTGCCATCTCTCGTGGGGTGATTCCTCACGTAAAAATATGATTTACCGACATAGTTCCGATTCTGCTATGTTTCATAGCTACAGGAGGTTAATGTCTTAATTTCTTTTTCATTTTAATTTTCTTCCAAGTACTTTTAGCGATTAGAATGAAATTTTGAGGGTAACAGTTAGTATAAGTGTTAAATATTTTAGTACTAAAAAAGAGTCAACAGATTTACCAAGGACGTGCAAATGGGTGTCACTACAATATTTTTTTAAACAAAAGACATGGTGCGTCACTAATTTTTTTTTCTTTTAGCATTGTATAGGCCGTTTAACGCCGATTATAAGACGCATCTTGATATTTTGTCAATTTCAATCTCCATCATAAACGCAATTTATTTAATAACAACTAAGAAACTTTAAATAAAAAGGAAATTAATAAATTAATTATTTAATTTATTCTATTACTAAAATTTATAACACCGATGTACAGTGAACTATGCATTTCTGCGCCCATGTTTATAGGAACTTTTTTTCGTATTTTTTGATGAGGAATTAATGAGTGTAATACTTTGTCCAGATAATGACACTGCATTTGTTTAACTATTATTTTCTTATTACTACTATTATTATCTTATCTAAACTATGTTGATATACAGGGTGGCGCACCTCATCCGCCTCCAAGTGCGGATAGAGGAATATATTTTAGGGGGGGCCCAAAATAAAAAGCAATGGAGAATAAGCTTTTTAGGGCACCATTTTTAACCCAAAAGCCTAATATTTTATACAATTTACGGACTTTAGGGGGGGGCCCATGAGCTCCCCCTCTGTATCCGCCATTGTTCGCCTCGGTTGATTATACGAAAACGGAAAGATGCAGAAACAAAATATTTTGCGGGTATATGTGGGAAGGCAATGTGCACAATTTAAAAATATTTTGTAATATACAGGGTGTTTCAGAACTAAGATCCATACTAAAGTTATATTTTTTCTTACGGAACACCCGGTATTTTATTTCATTTTTGTATTCTTTGGCCCAAAAAAAGGCATTTATTGTAAGAGTTAAATATGTTTAAAATCTTTGGTTGTTGAGATATTTAGAGATATTTAAATTTGCATGCTACTATAGAATAGATTATTAACATCCTGTACATTACTTTTTAGAATTCATTCTTGTGCTGAGCTTAAAGATAGAGAAATAAACTTTAGTGAAAAATGTTATTGCTTCCTTAAATTTATACAGGGGTATCAAAAATTGCTGATCAATTTTAAGGATTTATTTTACATAAAAACTTCGTTATTTTAAATACAACACTCTGTATTTTTTATAATAAATCGAGGCGGATTCAAATGCTCTTTCAAACTATATTAGGGTTTCCTATACCTATCTAGCTCAGATTTTGATTAAAGAGTAATTTTTCAATAAAATGGCAACCAAGAGGGCTAGTGTCGTCATGGCAAATTTCTAGTGACAGTTAGTAGCTATTTTCAAAATCGAAATTAGTTTATGGACTTATTTAAATTTATACCAGTTTGCTTTCATTTAATTTACCCTTACAATAACTTAAAAAATAATATTTATTAAATTTGTAGTTATTATGATATCAAGAAAAACAAAGAAGTAGTTCATTGGTTTATTTTACGATGTCTTGTAGATATATGGATTTTCTATAAAAGCGCCAAAAACGGCAAATTTATTTTCTTTAGTTCCAACGACAGGTTTCTGCCTAATAGGTTTTTTTTTATAAACCACACTACCAGACTACCAGCTCTGCGAAATAGGACAAATAGTTTTTCAAAGGAACGCTATCAGGAAGATTCATATTTGGATATCTTCAAGCATAAGCTCTTGAGGCCAAGAAGCAATTTTCATCACAAAATAAAATCATCAGTAACATATCCATTCGTCCCGCCAGCAGATACTGCTCTATCTTTCTTGATAAAATACTGAATATTTACTTATTAAACTATTGTACGTAAATCTAAGTAAACTGTTATAAATTATAAATTATAATGTCCATAAACTAATGTCGACTTTGAAAATAGTTACTGACTGTCACTAGAAAATTGCCATGGCGACACCAGCCATCTTGATTGCAATTTTATTTAAAAATCGCTTTTTATTCGAAATCTGAGCCATATAGGTATAGGCAGCCCTAATATAGTTTGAAAGAGCATTCAAATCTGCTTCGGTTTGTTTTAAAAAATATAGGGTGTTGCATTTAAAATAACGAAGTTTTAATATAAAACAAATCCTTAGAATAGATCAGCAATTTTTGATACCCCTGTATAAATTTAAGGAAGCAATACCATTTTTCAATAAAGTTTATTTCTTTACCTTTAAACTCTGCACAAGAATTAATTCTGAAAAGTAATGCACAGGGTGTTAATAATCTATTCGATTGTAGCATGCAAATTTAAATATCTTTAAATATCTCAAAAACCAAAGATTTTTAACATATTTAACCCTTATAATGTTTTTTTTTGGGCTCATAAATCTAAAAACGAAATAAAATACCGGTTCCATAAGAAAAAATATAACTTTGGTATGGATCTTCGTTCTGAAACACCCTGTATATTTCAAAATAATTTTAAATTGAGCACATTGTCTCCCTACATATACCCATAAAATATTTTGTTTCTACATTTTTCCGTTTTCGTATAATCAACCGAGGCGAATGAGGTGCGCCACCCTGTATATAAATAAAGTTGATATAAGAAATAACTCTCATACATGAGCTCCCCACGAGAGATGGCACATGGATATGTTGGAAACTGTTAAATGAGGTACTTTTGACTCCCTTTGCCTCAACCCTTAAAATGTAGCGTCCTCAACTTTTTTTCTGTAATGGACCTACCTTTTGTGACACTTCGTTTGAGAAATTCCTTGCTTCCTCTTTGCAATATTATAGTAAAATCTTAAATCGTACAATTATTTTTGAGATATAGGGATTAAAAAGTAATCTACATTTTCGAAAAATATTCATTTTGATGTTCTGTTACACAAAATAAAATTAATAGCTGTCTCAAATACACATCGGTGAATTGACTTGACATGTTCCCATGTATTTTTCGTATCCAGAAAACTTCCGATTGTTACCCAGTTTTGAGTCACCTTGATAGCAGGATCATAGTAAAAGTAATTTTGATTTTCTGGAGAATGACAGAATGTTTAAGCAATTTAGAAAGATATAGGAAAAAATATTAATTTTCTCTTAAATTTATATTCCTAAAGCCGGAGTCTCATGCATCCGAAATCCGATGACACGACGATCCGACGGTGCTCCTATTGGCCGAAATATTTTGACACCAATTTTTATCCGATATTTTAAACTAATCGTCCGACGTCGTATAAAGTTAAATTTTGTTTAACTTTTGTACGATATCGTGTGTTTTTTAACCTCACTTTTTTTGAAAACATTTGTTTTTAAAAACAAGTTTAGTGGGAAGTAGGCAATTTCGGGATATTTGGCGAGGAAGTTATTTTTATAAGTGTTTCTCCAATAAAACATGACATGAATCTCTATTCAGTGCAGCAGAAAAATGTCAAAACTGTCAAATTTCGGAACGAACTTTCGGATGTATGTGGCAGGCTTTTTTTATTTCACAGGATAACTTCAAATTTCGGATGTCGTACCATCGGATTTCGGATGCATGAGACTCCGGCTTAAAGCCTCATTCAGAACCTCGCAATTAGTGGAATAAATTAGTGGTTTTAATTATTACACTTTATAGTTTTTAGTTTATGATCATTCACAATGGTCAAAAAACACAATTAAAATTAATAGAATATCGTAGCAACAACTTGGTTAGTCAGTTGTATCCATAGAGAAAGTCTAAAGTGGCCCATACATTATCAAACAAATTGCGCAACAAAGCGATGCGCAACGCTGCGTTGCACAACTGATTCAGCGGTCCATACACTATCAAACAAGCACAACTGCATCATCCATGCACAGCATGCACTGCATCACCCATGCAAATTTTGATCAAACTTTTTATTAAAAGTTGTGCATTGTTTGAGAAACAATCATGTCATCAATTGCCACTGCATCAATTATTATCGTATATACCCTAGATGATGTCGATGATACCAAAAAACGAAAAAGGAAACAAAGAATTTGGATGAAAGAACTAAAATATTGCACAACGAAGCGCAACACACACATACACTACAAAACGCGTTGCGCAAGCAGTCCTGTTGCACAAAAGAATTCAAACATTCTTGAAACTCATCAAACAATTGCGCAACGCATCAAACACTACCATATCACAGATTAGGTATCCTATAAGTATACAGATAAAAATCTTGTCCCTAATTCGTGGTACGAAAATTGTTTTTTATGACGATGTGCAAACGAGTCAAATTTCCTGTGCGCAAAAATAAACTCGTGTAAAATAACAATAAACAGCGTAATAGAGAGATATCGCTAAACCGAATAGCGTCCATGGACGTTAATAAGGCCAGGTGTTATTTCCTTTACGTGAGGTGGTATTAACTCTCTTCATTCATAGTTATCGGATCGGAAAGAATTCTGATCGCGTCGCGTCCGCTATTTAAACTTAACCTAACTTTGAATTTAAAACTTTGAAATTGTTTTGTTTACTAGGTATTTTAAAACTAAAGGGCTAAAGTGCTTATTTCCAGTGCTTTATTGTTCAACGTCTGCCAGTGGGTTTAGGACAACAAGCAACAAATTCTCTTAGAAGGGCTAAGTCGTCATCTGCTGTAAACCTAAGACTCTTTATAGGTTCTTTAGTATTGGAAGAGGTGGAATCCATATTTTTAGCCGTATTTATTTAATTAAAACTAATCCCAGCTGCTTAAATATCAAATTACCTAATAAAAAAACTAAAGCAATAATTCAAAACAATTCAAACATAACCTAAAATAAAAGATCTCGCCGGCCGGCTCCGGTTGTCAAATACCCGCACATGCCCATTTAAGCAATTTTTAAACGTTATCAGAGGTTATTTAGAAAGAGCGCTTGGTGTAATTGATCCGCAAATTACGTCAGGCGGTAACGTTATTAGCGGGTGTTGCGTTGACTCGTGCATATCGTAACCATGATAAGGTACGCGTAAATACTGGATGACGCTATTCGGTTTTCCGATATCTCTCTAATAACTGTGCCGGTCAGGCGCTGTGCACAATTTTAGAGGCCATAAGTGGGCGTGCTATGTGCGCAAACTAGTCACCTAACTAGTGCCCGATTCCGAAAATTGGAACCACGAAAAACAATAAAGAAAAAACAAAGATTATAATCTGTATAATCTGTGACCATACATTGCCAACTCGTTGCGCAACAGCCTGCATTGCGCAATTTGTTTGATAATGTATGGGCCGCTTAATATTTAGCTTATAAAACAATCAAGTTTTGATTTCTGACCACAATTTTTCTTGACGGAAGATAATCAAATGCCAAAATGACATTTCTCGCAAATTTTGAAGTATAATTAGAGGAAAAATTAAAAGTTTGATAACATTTTCTACTAATTGATGATGTCTACCACTAATTTGGACGTTCTGAATGCTTACATTGAAATTAAAGGAACTTCTACGCTAATTGAAATCACTAATTTATTCCAATAATTGTGAGGTTCTGAATAAAGCTTAATTCATTCAAGCATGCTGATATGTATGGATACTTATACAAGGTTGTTAGAAGCAAAGACAAAAACAAATTAAATGTTTATTTTTTACTTTATTTAAACTTTTTTTTGACAGCACGTTTGTTGTTGTTTTTTAATACTAAAATGCAACCGATTTTGAAAATATGAGCTTTCAGAAAACTCTTGCATGCA